TGAAGGAGAGAGCACTGTGGGGGAGCACTGTTTGTTAGTTATCATATATATATATTTATTTATTTATTTATGGGTCTTTGATGAGACGTATACACGCTTGTGGGCTCGAGGGCGTAGATCGTTCGATCGTGATAACGAACTCACCTTAACCCGCTGTAGGTCAATCGGGTTCATGATGGTCCCCTGAAAGAACTCCACGGTGGTGAAGTGCCGCTTGAACAGTCCCTCCAGTTCGAGATCTGGCGGTTTCCTGAACGGGTCCGACAAAACGATACGATAATCTTTATAAATAACATTCACCTCTCTCAGACCAGTCGACGGGCGTCTTTTTTGCGAGAATATCGGCGAGCGGGAGCCGATAGTGTGATCGGCGGAGATTTCATTAGAACATAATTAAAAGTAGTACAGATCTAATGTGCGGGCCCGTGGCTCTCGAGGGAGAAGAATACACTATATCGCGCGCGTTTGTCGTTTGACAATTTCTCCTCGTCGCGGCTCTTTACCGAGTGCTTTACCGAGCGAATTCACCCCCTTGAGAGGCACGAGCGCGCCGAGGCGTATATGAATAATAAATCTAAGTAAGTCTCTACTGCACGCTGAGTCGGCTCCATAGCTCAATACCAGCATACCATGCAGTCGCAGGCGGTTGCTTTCTACGTAAAATATGTAAATATATATATATATATTTATAGATACGTATAGATATCTTTGGCACCGTCCGGTGTTGCGTGTCGCTTTGCATTCGCGCGAGGTGTGCACACCCGAAAAGCGCCACTTTACGTGTCGCGCCGTCGAGTACATCTCGACACGTCGGCGAACTCGAACGATCGTCGAGCCTCGCGGCGAACCACGTTGATATATATGGTGCCAACGACACGAGGTCGATGATTCCTGGATCACGCAGCACCAGGCGGTTTCGATAGCTCGTGAGAGAAAGAAGAGAGCGAGAGCGAGAGCGAGAGAGAGAGAGAGAGAGCGAGAGCGAGAGAGAGAGAGAGAGAGAAGAGAATAAATTCTAGAAAGAACGCAGCGAGCATTCGACGTGAATTCGCGGGCAAGTGTGTGTGCCCGCGAATCCGCGGATTCGAGAATTCTATAAAGAAGATATGATGATATGATTATCAACATGAGATTGCATGACGTGACATAAATATGTAGATATAGACAATATATAATATATATGCATAGATAAATATATATATATGTATATAAGAATATATATTGATCGACCATCACGGCGTGTTATATCCAGGCGAATAACCGTGTAATAACCTAAAGAACTGCAAGGAAACAAGAAGCGCGAGCGGCCACGTGGAGGGCATTGATGGAGGGTTGTTTTGGTTAATTGGTTGGTGGTTGGTCAGTTGGTTGATAGAGGTTTTCGTGTGGTGGTTGTTCTAGGGTTCAGGGTACCTTGACGCGCTCCAGATCCACGGCATTCATCATGGTGCCCTGAAAAAACTCCACGGTCGTGTAATGCCTCTTCAGGAGACCCTCCAATTCGAGATCTGGCTCTTTCCTGGAAACACAGACCACTCCTTACGACTATAGCGATCAGACTTCACAGGCGGCTACGGTAGGCGACCTGTCCTCGCTTATCCCTGCGCGAATTTTACAACACCGAGAGCGCCGTTCCGTTGGGGGGGGGGGGGAAGGGGACGAATTGTCCGTTTGCAATTCGAAGCGAGCTGTTTTACGAAACTGAACGCCGATCCCGATGGGAAATGTCCGTGTTTGTAACTCGAGACGAGTTATAACGCTCGGCTAGCGCTTGATATTACGGCGCAAAGTACTAATGGAATCTGATCGCTTTGAGTCGCATGGCGACAGGAAGTCTCTCTCTCGATCATCGAAGGGCGACATATACTCACCGCGGAGTCGCCAACATAGGAAAGAAAATGGTATTTAGTATGGGAGAGATGACGAGATGAAGGATAGAGATGAGGTTGAGAGGTAAGTCGAGTGTTGAATGTGATAATCAGCGAGCGATAGTTCTCTATTTATGCAGTATAATAAAAGATTAGATAGATATATATATATATTTCACTAAGATAAATTGCACAAACCTCTATTCCTCGTGAAAATGCGTGGGAATACTGTTACATGAAATAAAATTCGAACGATCATTCGTTCGTTCGCGTCGACATTGGCGACGCGGTAATGTTCAACGGTATGAAGATCGAACGAATGGGAGAGAAGTTTCGTAAGATATGCACGTGCGTCGCGTCGCGTCGATAACCCTCTCGAGATTAACCGTCGGCGTGTCGCGCTCCTGGGACACAACACATCGTCGGCAACCCGGCGATAATGTCGAAAGGGTTGAGGCGCGCCTCTACACGCGAGTCCGCGAAGAAAAAAATGTCACTTGTACAAAAGGCAATGATCATACCTATGCAAGAAGACAACTTCTACGTCGACGTCCTCGCGATCCTCGTGTAGGAAATCCTTGAGGAAGTGCGAGACCGATTCGTAAGTGATGTGGCCACACACGACAATATGTCTGCCAACACAACGAACAGATTAGATTACGTCCTATCGCGGGATGCGAGAGAGCGTTACATGGGAAAAGAAAGGGAAACTTTCACAAGCAACTACCATATACACGCTCTATGTAGTATATGTATATCAACTAGAGGCTTCGCGCGATTAAGTTCACCTCTCCACCGCTACTGCCACCGCCACCGCCGCCGCCACCGCCGCCGCCGCCGCCGCCGCCGCCACCGCCGCCGCCGTCGCCGCCATCGCCGCCACCAACACCGCCGTCGCCGTTCGCTCTCGTTTGTTCTTTTCGTCGAATACGTTTCTCCGGGGGTAAGTGTGTGTACACACCCCCCGCGGTGAGTCTCGCGACTCATAAATACAGACAAATGATTACAGCGCGGAAGAGAGAGAGAGAGAGAGAGAGAGAGATATATATATATATATATATATATAGAGAGAGCTGCTCGCGGGAGGCGGCGAGACGGGGCGGCGGGGGAGAGAAGAACGAACGTTGATGCCAGTGGGAGATCGAATTATTCTTTTCTTTTTCCTCTTCGTGCCATTTTAGTCTGCTGCCACAGTGAGATTAAACTCGACTTCGTTTCACTTCGTTAAGCGACTTTATCTCATTCAAGATTATTCATTTAGCAACTGACGCGCGGCTTGTGGAGAGAGAAAAAAAGGGGAACAAAAACGAGAGAAAGAACAGATCCAACGGTTGAAGTGTTGCTCGAGGAATACTCGGTGATCCGTCGTGAAAGCTCTTACGCGCGACGCTCGACGTTTACCTCGAGTTTACTTCAAAGAGAAAAAAACACACGTACGGCTACGTTAAACAGCGCGATCATTGAAGAGTACAGTAAAGAAAAAAAAAAAAAAAAAAAAGCGGCTAACATTCGGCATTTGAGCAATGCGCGCGATTTGCGATACGTGTGTACGCGTGTGTATCCATTCGCAAGTGAACGATACAAATCAGTAGGCTAGAAAGAAAAGAACTTACCAGGTTTTGCGCTAGGAATTGGAGTGTGTCGTTTTAACCAACTAAACGTGAACGACTATATACACACATACATATATACACACGCACGCACTTATATACATATACACACAGATACACACACACACACACACACACACACACACACGCACGCACGCACGCACGCACGCACGCACGCACGCACGCACGCACGCACGCACGCACGCACGCACGCACGCACGCACGCACGCACGCACGCACGCACGCACGCATACACGCACACACACATACCTAAGTAATTAGTTGCGCTATATATATATATGTGTATATATATATATATATAGATGGACGACGTACATATACATTAGGTTAATATCGACAAGTGTTAGATCGAGAATAACGCATGAGTGCAGGCTCATTCGTATTGTCAGTCATTGCAATATATACGTCAAGCGCAAGACCTTCCTCTACGTGTGTAATCTCTACGTGACGTGTGTATATCGACAGTGATGTAACAGTCCTACTCCTAAGTGCGACATAACACAAGGTACATGTAAGAGACTAGCGGTGCCTAAGAGATAGATAATCGAGAGAGACTTGCAATGTAGGAAAGATATAGCAGAGTTCGACCATGATCATTCCATGCTGAACTGCCTTCTACTACTCGATGAAGATCTAACGCTCGGCCGCGTCGTGAACTCAGCAGCTTCGTCTTTGTCGCGCGCGAGAACTCGCCACTCGCTCGGTCGCGCGACGACCACCACGGCAAATAAGAACGGCAAATCTCTCGCGGATCTCGCGAAGCGCGAGGTGTCACATCCTCGCGGAAGGTCGCCCGGGCCCTGCTGAATTCAACCGCGCGGACCCGACACAATTGGTTATATATATGTCGGGGTATTGTAATACACTGTGATACTCTCGCTAATATAACATAACCGGGACCGACGGGCCGTGTGTGCGTGTACGTCGATAGTGTGAGTGTTGTGGATATGAGAGGAGTCGTTATATATATGATGCTGTTCGATCGTCGGCGAACGCGAAAGTCGCGCGTCGGGTCGTCGAAGACGATCCGGTCGCGGAAACGCGTGCCTTTCGCGCGGCTACGTCGTGAAGAAAATCCGCGTCCGCTGCCGACGAAATCGTAGCGGACGACGACCGTACATCCGGCGTTCGTACGCGCTCTCGTGCAACGACTCGTGCCGAATTTTCCTTCTCTTCTCTCGCGCGTTTCCATCGATCGATTTTCTTTCGACATTTTATCCTTCCGTTTTCTTTTCCTCTGTTTTTTTTCTTTTTTTCTATTTTTTTTTCTCTTTCACCATGACGAGATTATTTACGCAAGAGTCTCTTTCTGCTGCTTGTGGCCCGAGGCCGACACGCCTCGATGCGCGCTTCAGGGCGCGTGATTTATTAAGCCCCACGGTCGGACCTTCGATCGGACGTGGTCAATTCATTGTCTGACGAGACAGCCGCTATTGAAAGTTTGGATAAAATGAGCAGTATTAATGGAACTCTGAGAGATGGGAAGCGACGCGCGGACGACGCACGGACGAAAAATGCGGTGAACGGTGATTTGCCCGCCCGCGCCGCGCGAGAGCTTTCGTGTCGTCGTCGTCGCCGTCGTCGTCGTGAAAAGGGGCGAGCCCACCGACAGCACAGTCGAGTGTCTCGCGTGTGCGTTTATTCTCCATCGACTATGAGAGCGCGTGTACGCGTGTATTCGGGCAAGGTGATGATGCGATCACGGCAGCGTGTCACGTTGTCGTGTAGCTCCTCCTTAGGAAAAGTCACAGCCACATTTGCGCCAGTCGTGAATGAATCGTGAAAAGAAAACCTGCCGTTCCTGATCTACCACGTCTTGGCTCACCGAGGATCGCCGTCCTCGGATCAGAATCCCTGAACTATTGCGCGATGCACGGTAATAAGCACACGTTGTACCCAAGAGACAAAGGTACGCAATTTTCTTTACCCTTCCCCTCTTTGGAGTTTACGAATTAGGCAAGAAACGATTATTAATACTGTACTAAAACACCAAAGTTATTACACTGAAGTGATACAACATATTATAGGTTATATTAATATATATATATGTATATATATGTGTATATATACATGTATGTGTGTGTGTGTGTATATATACATATATATAATATATATGCATTCTCAATGTGTTCGGGTAATGCAGGGTACATGCTGGGCGTTGACTCTTTGCACTCGGAGAGAAATACAGCTCGACACGTGAAAACGACGCGCGGTTCGTTTAACAATGATGAAAGTCGCTCGACCATGATGCTCCGTCCCGCGTCTATCGGGCCAATTGTAGCTCAAGACTCTCGTCGCTCAAGACGCGTAAATTCGCCTGGCTCTCTTGTTTATCGCGTCGCGAATTACGACGGAATTTTCCACAACGTTGCGCGATTCACGGCTTGTGCAACGCAACGCACGATCGCGCGGCCGCGCCGCGCCGCGCCGCGCCGCGCCGCGCCGCGTCGTATCCTCCTTGTCTCTCTCACGTCCGCTTACGACGGATCACGTGCTATTGATGTCGCCTCGGATGTCGTTCTCGGCTCTATCATAAGTCGCTTCTGCTTGACACGACAATGGAGATGTTAATAGGCGCCGGCCAAATGAGCCAATTGATCCGGATGGCTCTCGTTACGAACGCGTTCGAGTTATTCGCGTGCGGCTCGCGCGCTCGCCAGCTGCGAAACGAGAAACGCGCAGAAAACGCTTCGCGTTTCGCGACGACAATCGAGGGAGCATTCTCGAGCGTTCCCGAGGCGAAGGAGCTATTCGTCGCTCGCCGAATGTCCGGCCGTTTTACCGGGACTTGATGCGTACTTTTAAGCGCGATAAGCCGTATTTATCCCAAGTGCGGTCGGTGTGAACAAACAAGCTAACACCAGTTGCTGGGTGTGGTAGGTCTGTGGTGGCAGACGGGCTTGGCTGGTTGGTTGGTTAGTTGGTTGGTTGGTTGGTTGGTTGCTTGCTTAGTTGGTTAGTCGGTCGAGAGGTTTTGCTGGGGATAGGCTGGTGTTTGGGATTGTTTTTAGGGGGTGGCGGCTGCACTAAGGCCGACTGACAACTAGTGCAATGAGCTGGTATGGAACTGCGGTTTTGCGATGCTAACACTGATCTCTAAATATATATAGATCTGTAAGAAGGACTCTTGTCAGGTCAAGGGAATCTCTTGACAAGGATTGAAGTTCGTACGTGCTTCTATCGAAGGGTTGCATTCAATAGGAAGAAACACGGAATCACGGGAGAAAAAGAGAGAGAGAGAGAGAGAGAGAGAGAGAGAGAGAGAGAGAGACCAAGAGTGGTCATGTGTTACGCGTGTACATGTGTCGGGGAAAGAGTAACAACGTTAGTAGTGATGTATACGTATATATGTGTGTGTGTGTGTGTGTGTGTGTGTGTGTGTGTGTGTGTATGTGTGTCGCGGGATAGAGATGCTAGGCTGAAAAGAGAGCGGGGAGTGATAGAGATTACATAGCCTTTCACGTACGAAAGGATATCGTGAGCGTGGAGGTGGTCGGGAGTAGAGGACTCAAATCGGGGAAGCTAATTGGTTTGGTTGTGTCTCTCACCTGCGACCTCGCTCGTTCTTCAAAGTGCCGCCATACTTGTTTCGCGTCCCGATCAGGTCAATTATCTCGGGGATACAACTGGCGAATATGGCCTACACCACGTAATAGAACAGAACACAACACTCGCATCAATACACTTGTGTGACAGGGTTGGCAGTGGTTTACTTTTTCTTTCTTTTTTTTTCTTTTCGTCTTTCGTTTTTTACATGTTCCTTGATCGGTCGGTCGATCGTTCGTTCGGTCGGTCGGTCGGTCAGTCGGTCGATCGGTCGTTTGTTCGATGAATTTGAATGTTTCCCTGACGTCGCGTCGTGTGATGTCACGAGTCATTAGTAACCGTCGCACGCCGGTTACGCGATACGTCTTTTTTCCCTTTTCGTTCTCTGATAGGTGACGAGGGGAAGGACATTTGCATTTTTATGAGCGGAATCAGAATTTGGCTCGGCTACACCC